CGCACCTCCTCCGGCCAGGTGAGCCTCGGCGCGGCCGGCCGCCGCCGCACCTGCAGCTGCTCCGCGGGGTCGCCGCCAGGGGCGCTGCATGCTCGCTCTGCTGCAGTGCTGACGTTGCCAGGGCAGCTGAGGAAATGATTTGTTTTATTTTATTTTAAATAACTTAAATTTAAACTTAAATAGCCACATGTGGCTTCTGGTACTCCGCTGACAGCACTATAAGCCTTACAATTCAGAATTATCAGTGAAAATTATGTCTGGGATTTTCTTTAAAAGTTCTATTACTTTCTAAGACTCAGTTTCTACAGTTGTGTTCTAACTATTGATTCCTAGTGAACTGTGTTAAAGACATTTTAGAAAACATTTTGTGGTTGTTTTTTTTAAAAAAGGAACACGTCACGAATTTGTGTGTCATCCTTGAAAAAGTGTTTTTCTTGAAAGTGTTTAATACTCATTTCAAAATTTTGTTTAACAAAAATATTTCTATATATATGTTATATAAGGTTTCCAGGTCCGGTTGTCACAGCTTTGAAAGGTGGTAGCACTGGTAAAGATGATGCAAAAATTGATATTTATTTACTTCACTAATTTTTATACTTGATAAAAGTTTACCTCCCTAGTATTTTTTTCTGCTGTAAGACTCCAGTGTTGCTGCTAGATGTGTCCTCACTATCGCTCAAATTCATGCCTAAATGTTTTTGTTTTATTTTGTTTTATTAAAAAAAGCATAAGGGATGAACTGTGGTGAGTGAATATCATCCCAAAGAGTACGTAGAGTGAAACCAAGTGATCTGTAGAAAAAGCAGCCAGGTTTTCAAGGGAAATTAACTGTTGCTTCTGCCATGAGAAGTTAAATCTGTTTTTTCTATGAAAGTGTAGATATTAATAATCTAAACTGCCTTTAGAAATATGTTACTCACACTGTCTCCACTCAGTGAATGATATCAGTGTGTCTCAGTGAGGGCTTCCTTTTGCTGATTCTTCCCCAGACTGGAATTCCTGCTGGGCAGTTGGCTGAGACTCAGGAAATGCAGCTTACCACTGAAACACACAAGAAGTCAGAGTTTTTCAAAGCTGTAAGGTAAGCTTAATAGCAATCCAGCTGACATAAATTTAAGTGTTTCTCTACCCTATCAACCTACCTGTAGCTTCGATTTTCTTTTAAAAAGTAGAATTGATATTAAGTTTTACCAGCTTTGAAAATTATTGATTTCTTGTGGTGAGCTACTTTTATAGGGTGAGCTGCATTTTCCAGGCCTTGAAACTAGTAATCATACTGTAAGAGTGATCACCTCTATATCTAGACTGTTTGCTATGTATGTTATATACATGTTAACGGTATAAAAAGTGAATGTAAAGTGTGTGTGTGTGTGTGTGTGTGTGTGTATACTCTGTATACTAATAAATTATTTTCTTAAAATAATTTTTTTTAAAGTGAAATTATTGTGTCAGTTCCTTCTGAATTTTGGGGAGCTAATTTCTCTTGGCCATACCTACCCAAGTTTCCTGAAGCAACAGTAACCTTGAAAATACTCAGTTGAATAACATGGGAGATAAAGGAATTCTGTTCTGGTTGCACTACTACTGTTTTAGATGGAAATAAAGAGTGAGATAGACTCCCCCAGGTTGTCCTAGTGACCTTTACAGTTTACAATTTTCTTAAAGAAATCTTAGCATTACAGACCATTTCTTCTTTTTTATGATACTGCCATCCATCCCTGTGCTAAGGACTGTGTCTCTAGAGACAGAAATATCAGTTCATCCTCTTGGATCATGAGTTATTACCTGGGGGGAAATAGAAGTGATCCCATGTAGGAAGGCAAGTGATTCTGAGCTATATACTATTAGGAGCTGTGGATCTACTTTTTATAATATCTGTACAAGACAGACACTTACATAGTTCCCTGACATTGCCACAGGAGTAATGCTGTCACTAGCAGAACAGCAAGGTGTTCTGCTCCCACAAACACTGCAACTTCTCAGGGAATGGGAAGCATTCATGCCTAATGAAGCATTTGTTCCAAAAACCTGTATTTCTGACATTTTTACACTTCTAAGCAGGCTTAATTTTAGCATGTGAGATACAGTTTGGAGTGCTTTAAGAAAGGGCTATTCAAAAGTTGGGCTGTCAGAATATCTTGTCAGATATATCCAGAACCACTTTGTGGTTTTCCTCCAACTATAGCAGTCAACAGAGTCATTGGGAAGTAATCAGAATTACTGCCATGGGGCCCACAATGTGAGGGAATGCTTTTACCTCATCAAATATAGTGGCTGCCCTGGCCAGTTTGGCTCAGTGGTTAGAGCGTTGGCCTGAGGACCAACAGGTCATGGGTTTAATTCCAGTCAGGGGCACGTATCTCAGTTGCAGACTCGATGCCCAGCCCTGGTTGGGGGTGTGCAGGAGGCAACAAGTCAATGTGTCTGTCTCACATCGATGTTTCTCTCTCTCTCTCCCTTCCACTCTCTCTGAAAAGTAATGGAGAAAATATCCTCGGGTGAGGATTAAAATGGCTGCGATTATATTGTTATTATCAAGTATAGTATTTAAAATGATGAAAAGATTGGTTCTAGAGTGGGCTATAGATAATAATTCTCAAATCTTCTTCCCTTAAGAGTTTCACAATCAGCCTGGCCAGCGTGGCTCAGCGGTTGAGCATCGACCTATGCTCCAGGAGGTCGGGGTTTGATTCCCTGTCAGGGCACATGCCCCAGTTTCGGGCTTGGTCCCCAGTCCGGGGCATGCAGGAGGCAGCTGATCGATGACTCATCATTGATGTGTCTATCTACTTCCCTTTCCCTTCCTCTTTCTGAAATTAATAAAGATATATTTTTTTTAAAAAAGTTTCACAGTTAGGTATCCATCTTTCAGTGATTGTTTATAGTTGTTTTTAAATTTTCATTTATTGATTTGAGAGAGAGAGAGAGAGGGAGAGAGAGGAAGGTGGGGGGAGGAGAAGCCATAGATTTTTGTTGTTCCGCTCATTTATGGACTCACTGGTCTGTTGACCTTTGTATGTGCCCTGACCAGGAATCAAAACTGCAACCTTTTGGTGTACAGGACAATGCTTAAACCAACTGAGCCACCCAGCCAGGACTTATTATCTCCATTTTAAAGATAAGGAAACCGAGGCACAGAGCAGATTGGTAGCTCTCCCCAAGTCAGTTGTTAAGCCAGGATTTCAACTCACAGCAATCTGACTCAGAGTCCACACTTAACCACAAAATGTTTGTTTGTTTGTTTGTTTGTTTGTTTTTGGCACAGTATTTAACACCTGTGCCAAAGAATACTATCTGGAAATATTTTTAAAGTCTCTTTTGTAATATTTTTGATAAATTCAACTGAGAAATCTTGATATAAAAGTTTAGAGAGTGATATACTTTCTTTTAATGTGGTAAAATTTATATACAGTGAATTACACAGATCTTAAATATGCAATTCAGTGAGTTTTGACAAAGTTATACACCAATATAAAACACACCCAGTCAAGATATAGAACATCTTCACCCCAGAAAGTTTCCTCATGCCGCTCCATCAATCCCCACCTGCATTCTTAACCACTGGTTTGGTTTCTATCTCCATGGGTTGTTTTCCTGTTCTTAAATTTCATGTAAGTGAAATCATACAATACGTACCCTTTTTATGTGCTTGTTTTTTTCAATATATGCAAATAAATCTATTTAGAGTATTTTTTTATTAGTTATTTGGTTATTTGATTTTTTCAGATAAGTCTGTGATGTATTTTATTACGGAAACATTTACTAGCTGTTTCTTTACACCCTTTCTCCAACTATCCAGTAGTAGATCAGTTTATGAACTACTTCCTTATATACAATAAAAACTGCCTAATATTAAACAGAATTATTTTCAAGAATGCTGCTTCAGAATCAGACCATGTTCAAATCCTAATCTAGTTAATTTCAGGAAATAATTAAAACACATACCTAGATTGTACCAAAGACCTGCATCTGTCTGCCCATTTTCAGTCTTCATAGTTTTCCTCTCTGGCCTTTCTACATGGCTTTTAAATACGAAGAATGTTTTTCTTATTCTCTTTCTAGGCCCAATCCTTAAATGTCCAGCGAGAGCTTTTCTTCCTGGCTGCAGAATCTCAGAATTGACTGTGAGGCTTTGCTGTTTACACAGTCCAGCTCGTGACAACTAGGCATTCTATTGCCTGAGTAAGCTTGTTAGAATGGCCCCTCAGCCCTTAATTGGTTCCACATGAGAGAATACTAACTTTGTTTCTTAATACTTTACAGTTTGACCAAGTTGCCAGAATGTCTATCAGACACAGTTTTCTCAGGTGAAATTCAGCGGAGGTTTTCTGTAATGGTTGGTTCTGTGATCAAAGGCCATAACAACTGCCAGGTTTACCTCTAGGGTTAAAGTTCATCACTTTATCATCTTTTTTCCCCCCCTTCTTGAAATGATAAGGGAAGGTGTATTTTTCCTTGGATAATTTTTCTGTCATGACCATAGTAATTTTTCTTTGTCACTTTGGTATTTCAGAAGCTTGAAAGCATTTAGTTAATGACCCACCCCATAGTGTTGATAATTAGGAAGTGTGGGAAAATGTAGCCAGTGTTTTAAATATTTCTCAAATATTCAATTTATGAAATTAGATCCAGCAAAGAGAGGAATGCTTTGAAGGGTAGGAAAGATGGTTTTCTAATCCTGCTTTGATTTATTTAATTTTAATTTTTTATTTACTGATTTGAGAGAGAGAGAAGAATGGAGAAAGAATGAGAAATGTCAGTTTGTTGCCCACTTGATGCATCATTGGTTGATTCTGGTATGTGCCCTCACCGGGGATCAAACCCACAACCTTGATGTATCAGGATGACATTCTAACCAACTGAACTACCCAGCCAGGGCTAATTATATCTCTTTTCAAAAATTACTTTCTAACTTATAAATGCATACTCTGCTGTTAATGAAAATGAGAGATAATATAGATTAATTAAGGTCATTAAAATTGTGAATTTTCTTGCCTTCCAAAATTAAAAGAAAAACACAAAATGCATTGATTTTTTTATTTAGTTTTATTACATGGACTTTATTACAAAGCAAAGCACAGAAAAAGGAGAAAATAAAAAAGTAAAAAAGAAATGCCAGATAGCCCACCAGTTAGAACCAGCCTCTGCTTCTATAAGAGTATTTACTGCTTGAGTCAGTTGGGAAATTTCCAGTGTTGGGTAACTGTGGCAGACTTAACATGAATCATTATCAGAGGGATAAATAGTTAAGCTGTTCTTTGGCTCTGGGACAAGGCTCAGTATTCTGCCCAAAAGCCCTAGGGGACTCTTAGCCAGCTCAATCCCAAAAGAAATGTGAGGTGAGCTCTTCCAGGCCCAGCTCTGTTGTTTTGCCTGATTCAAACTGGCCAATAAGGCCATCTCTTATTTCTCTCTTTTATTTCTTACCAACTTCATCAATAAAAATGTAAGTTTTTTATATTACAGATACATAAAAGTTAAATTAAAAATTAACACTTTCTTAGTGGAATGCAAACTACAGAATTTGCTGGAGAGGTAATCTATACATAGGAAAAACAAAAGTATTTTCATTCATTAAACAACTGAGTTGCATGAACTGAACATGAGTACTAAGAAAAATCAAAGGTCTTTGACCCAACAATTTCTTTCCTGGGACTATCCCATAGAAATAAAAGCACCAGTATATAGGACTTAAAGTACCAGGATATAAGTACAAAGATTTTGGCCTTGCCGGTTTGCTCAGTGGTTAGATCATCAGCTCGTGGACTGAAGGGTCACGGGTGTGAGTCCATCCAAGGGCATGTACCTGGGTTGCAGGCTCAATCCCTGGCCCCAGTCGGGGGTGTGAGTGGGAGGCAACCAATCGGTGTCTGTGTGTGTGTGTGTGTGTGTGTGTCTTTCTCTCTCTCTCTCTCTCTCTCTCTCTGTCTGTCTTTCCCCCTTCCACTCTCTCTGAAAAGCAATGGAAAAAATATCCTCAGGTGAGATTAAAAATAAATAAGTACAAAGATGTTTATTATAGCAGCAAAAAACTGAAAACAATATGAGTGCCCACCTGTAAGGAAATGGCTCAGTAAGTTACGATGCATCACTCCAAGAAATATTATGAAGACATTAAGTAGAATGAATTGAAGCTGTGCCAGATGACTTGGTGGGAGGGATTTCCATGATTATTGTGTTAGAAAAGCAAGATACAGAAAAGAGTGTATAGGACCCCATTTTTGTAAAACACTAGTATCCAAAACTATCCATAACTGCAGGTATATGGTATATGTGTGTATGATTTTATGAGTGTTAAGAAAACAGGAAAGCATGCATACAAGATGACAGACGTGGGTGTGGTGCTGATGGAGGAGGAAAGGGAGTGGAGTCAAGCAATGAAGGCAAAGGGAGGAAATGTTTAACTATTCAAAGAGTTTAGTATGGAGTCAAGCAATGAAGGCAAAGGGAGGAAATGTTTAACTATTCAAAGAGTTTAGTATGATAGGATTATATTTATATACAGCTATAGGTGTGACATGAAATAGTTAACTTTAAAAAAATTCAAAGGGACAAATCAATGTGATTTGGGCTAATCAGGAAAGCCTTTTAGATAAGTAGAGTCTAAAACCAAACATGTGTTGAGCCTAAGATCTTGGAGTGGAATTGCCTCTCAAATCAAATAAAAAATTTTAAAAACCTGTAGATTATTTAACAAATATTTATCAAATGCCCACTATATTCCAGTTGTTATTCTAGCTGTTGGGACTATAACATTGAACAAACAGACAAAAATCTATGTCCTCATGAAGCTTATGTTCTTTTGGGGAACATAATGTGACCTTCTCTTCACCTTATATATTGAAACTTAAGGGCCTGACAATGTCTTCTACTTAATAATGCTCAATAAGTATTTGATTGAATGACTATGCGAATGAACCAAAGAGCTGGAAGAGATCTAAAGACATCATGATCTCAGTTTTCAGGCAGAACTATGTTTAACTTTTTTTTTTCCCTTCAAATTTTTACAATAGAACAGAACTTTTAAACCCGGGTTATCTCCATAATTCTCCATGTGCCATGAAGAAATCTGGCATAAATTGAAGAAATGAGCTTGGGTGTCTTCATCTAATATTAAACTACCTTACATACATTGGCACTATAGAAAAGCAAAGCATCACTGTTGTTTGTCATTTCCAGGGGAGGTGACTCCAGGACTATCCCAGGTGGAATATGCACTTCGCAGACACAAATTAATGTCTCTGATCCACAAGGAAGCACAAGGCCAGAGTGGGACAGATCAGACAGTGGTTTTGCTGTCCAACCCTACATACTACATGAGCAATGACATCCCCTATACTTTCCATCAAGACAACAATTTCCTGTACCTGTGTGGATTCCAAGAGCCCGATAGCATTCTGGTCCTTCAAAGCCTGCCTGGCAAGCAGTTACCAGCACACAAGGCCATGCTTTTTGTGCCTCGGAGAGACCCCAGTCGAGAACTTTGGGATGGCCCACGATCTGGCCCTGATGGAGCAATAGCTCTAACTGGTGTGGATGAAGCCTATACGCTGGATGAATTTCAGCATCTAGCATCCAAACTGAAAGGTAACAAATGGGAACAGAAGTCAAATCATAGGCCAGATCGGGATTAAGACCTTCCTTGCCTGTTTAGACAAAATTCTTCGTGTCCTAAAGTGATTATCCATAGCAGTGTTTCCCTTAAGCACCAAGAAAGGAACATCAGGTTTTTTCCACAAGACTGGGCTACTTTAAAGACTTCATTTATTCATTTGCTAAATCTTATTAGATTATTCCTTCACATAAACTGTTAACTGTCCTAGTTTGAAATCATAGAGAGTGAATTTCCTTCTAAAGTAGAGGATGGGCATGGCCACTCTTCAAGATTACTGACCAGTCTCTTGACCTTTGACCCCTGCCTCTTACTGCTTTTGCCAACTCTTCAAAAGGAGGCAGTATTCTCAAAGAATGATCCATGCATCACCAGCATCAGAATCACCTGGTGATGCATATTAGAATCACAAATGCATAGTAGATATTGGAAATGTAAAGTCTTAGGCCCCCACTCCATACCGACTAAATCGGAATCTACATTTGAATAAGATTCTTAGGTGATTTCTATTCACAGTTCATATCCTTCAAAATAGTCATTTTCTCTACATTCTGGTGAAATTATGATCATTCAGAATGTTTTGGGATTCCTTTTCTGGAACTTTGCAGAACTTATACTACCATATAAACTTTCCTTAGTGATTCTTGTAAATCTGTAGCTCTAGAAGCATTTTTAAAGTATCCAAAAGTCACTTAGAGCCAAATGTGTTAAATAAGATAGATGATCAAGTTGGAAAATACTAATTTTAGACAAAATAATGTAGGATTGTAAAAATTTTTTTAAAAAATTTTTTTAAATGTATCTTTATTGATTTTCAGAGAGAGGAAGGGAGAGGAAGAGAGAGAGAAACATCAGTGATGAGAGAGTCGTCATTGATTGGCTGCCTCCTACATGCCTCCAACTGGGGATCAAGCCCACAACCTGGGCATGTGCCCTGATTGGGAATCGAACCTCGGCCTCCTGGATCCTAGGTCCATGCTCAACCACTGAGCCATACCTGGCCAGGCTGTAAAATTTTAAAGATTTCTTTTTTNAGATTATTTAACAAATATTTATCAAATGCCCACTATATTCCAGTTGTTATTCTAGCTGTTGGGACTATAACATTGAACAAACAGACAAAAATCTATGTCCTCATGAAGCTTATGTTCTTTTGGGGAACATAATGTGACCTTCTCTTCACCTTATATATTGAAACTTAAGGGCCTGACAATGTCTTCTACTTAATAATGCTCAATAAGTATTTGATTGAATGACTATGCGAATGAACCAAAGAGCTGGAAGAGATCTAAAGACATCATGATCTCAGTTTTCAGGCAGAACTATGTTTAACTTTTTTTTTTCCCTTCAAATTTTTACAATAGAACAGAACTTTTAAACCCGGGTTATCTCCATAATTCTCCATGTGCCATGAAGAAATCTGGCATAAATTGAAGAAATGAGCTTGGGTGTCTTCATCTAATATTAAACTACCTTACATACATTGGCACTATAGAAAAGCAAAGCATCACTGTTGTTTGTCATTTCCAGGGGAGGTGACTCCAGGACTATCCCAGGTGGAATATGCACTTCGCAGACACAAATTAATGTCTCTGATCCACAAGGAAGCACAAGGCCAGAGTGGGACAGATCAGACAGTGGTTTTGCTGTCCAACCCTACATACTACATGAGCAATGACATCCCCTATACTTTCCATCAAGACAACAATTTCCTGTACCTGTGTGGATTCCAAGAGCCCGATAGCATTCTGGTCCTTCAAAGCCTGCCTGGCAAGCAGTTACCAGCACACAAGGCCATGCTTTTTGTGCCTCGGAGAGACCCCAGTCGAGAACTTTGGGATGGCCCACGATCTGGCCCTGATGGAGCAATAGCTCTAACTGGTGTGGATGAAGCCTATACGCTGGATGAATTTCAGCATCTAGCATCCAAACTGAAAGGTAACAAATGGGAACAGAAGTCAAATCATAGGCCAGATCGGGATTAAGACCTTCCTTGCCTGTTTAGACAAAATTCTTCGTGTCCTAAAGTGATTATCCATAGCAGTGTTTCCCTTAAGCACCAAGAAAGGAACATCAGGTTTTTTCCACAAGACTGGGCTACTTTAAAGACTTCATTTATTCATTTGCTAAATCTTATTAGATTATTCCTTCACATAAACTGTTAACTGTCCTAGTTTGAAATCATAGAGAGTGAATTTCCTTCTAAAGTAGAGGATGGGCATGGCCACTCTTCAAGATTACTGACCAGTCTCTTGACCTTTGACCCCTGCCTCTTACTGCTTTTGCCAACTCTTCAAAAGGAGGCAGTATTCTCAAAGAATGATCCATGCATCACCAGCATCAGAATCACCTGGTGATGCATATTAGAATCACAAATGCATAGTAGATATTGGAAATGTAAAGTCTTAGGCCCCCACTCCATACCGACTAAATCGGAATCTACATTTGAATAAGATTCTTAGGTGATTTCTATTCACAGTTCATATCCTTCAAAATAGTCATTTTCTCTACATTCTGGTGAAATTATGATCATTCAGAATGTTTTGGGATTCCTTTTCTGGAACTTTGCAGAACTTATACTACCATATAAACTTTCCTTAGTGATTCTTGTAAATCTGTAGCTCTAGAAGCATTTTTAAAGTATCCAAAAGTCACTTAGAGCCAAATGTGTTAAATAAGATAGATGATCAAGTTGGAAAATACTAATTTTAGACAAAATAATGTAGGATTGTAAAAATTTTTTTAAAAAATTTTTTTAAATGTATCTTTATTGATTTTCAGAGAGAGGAAGGGAGAGGAAGAGAGAGAGAAACATCAGTGATGAGAGAGTCGTCATTGATTGGCTGCCTCCTACATGCCTCCAACTGGGGATCAAGCCCACAACCTGGGCATGTGCCCTGATTGGGAATCGAACCTCGGCCTCCTGGATCCTAGGTCCATGCTCAACCACTGAGCCATACCTGGCCAGGCTGTAAAATTTTAAAGATTTCTTTTTTGTTTGAAAGAGAGAGAGAGGAAGGGAGAAAGAGAGGAACATCAGTGTGAGAGCGAAACACAGATCACTGCCTCCTGCACACCCCCTATAGGGTATTGAGCTGAAACCCAAGCATGTGCCCTAACCGAGAATTGAACTGGCAACCTTTTGGTGCATGGAACAACGCTCAGCCAACTGAGCCACACTGGCTGGGGCAAGGATTGTAAAATTTTAGTCTGATTTCTCTTGTGTGATTTATATATAACTTCTGAAGTCAGTTTCTAAAACAGGATTTCAAAATTGTTTCCAACCATCATGGAATTTACTGGACTTTTTTCCTACAAAGACTCCATGGAAAGAAAATATTTGCTTAAATATACCTGTTCTAATATGTTTGAATTCTGTAGAGATAATTACCCAGCTAAGCTAGTGGAACTTTCATAATCTTCGAAGTCTTCATGAACGTGGAGCACAGAATCATTTTTTAGCTTTTCTTTTTCTTGAACTAGTTGCTGGCTGTCATGTTCCAAATTACTTTGTCCCTTGCCCTGGCTGGTATGGCTTAGTTGGTTGAGCATCGTCCTGTACACTGAAAGGGTTTTGGTTCGATCCCCAGTAGGGGGCGTGCAGGAGGCTGCTGATTGATGTTTCCCTCTCACATCAATGTTTCTCTCTCTCTGTATCTCTCTCCCTCTCCCTCCCTCTCTTTTCTCTAAAAATCAATTAAAAATATTTTTAAAAAACAAAACATACAACCCTTCAGACGTAGTTTGGGAATGCTGTTCATTGGCTACTGTCAGGAAAAAAAAAAAGGTATTGTAGAATTGTATACCTGAAATTTATATAATTATATTAACCAATGTCACCCCAATAAATTCAATTTAAGAAAATAAATAAGAAAAAATGAAAGGAAATGGAGACTTGGTGTAAGCGGAAATCATTTTCATAATGATTTTATATTTCAGGCCAGTTATAGGCCATTTCCTTGGGTCTCTATAGTTAAAAGGTGAACAGTACTTGTATGTAATGAGAATACATAGCAGAGAGAAAGGAAAGCTTTCCTGGATAAGAGTGGATTAGCACATATTATCAACTGAGACGTTTCTATAGCCGTGAATAATTGCCCCTGAGAACATCCTTTCTCCAGTTCTGAGGGATGGAATGCTTTTAACCTAAAGTCATGGTGTAAATACATTTTTTTCTGTCCTTTCTGTTCAGTTATTCAGCAATGCCTCGAGCTCAATAGTGGTTCTTTAACAGTTAGTAAGTAATAGATAAAATCAAAGCTTGAATAAGGGTTTTTAGTTCCATCTGTGTAGTTCCAAAGTTTTGTATTGGGGCAGAAAAGCTGTCTCTTTGGTCTCAGAATATCTTGCCATTTTCAGGGAATGACCTTTCCATGATTTAGAATCAAACCCTTCAATTACTTCAGCCCTGACAGAGTTCAGGCTCAACCCTTTAAGAGTCACACTGCATGTTTTATAGTTTTGACTCCTGTTTAAGTCATTATGACAGTTGGTATTTGTTGTTGCTGCTGTTAGTTTTATTTTAAATTGATGTTTTGGCATCTCATTTTAAGCTGAGACAAATACACTGTGGTATGACTGGATGAGGCCCGCTCACGCACAGCTTCACTCGGACTACATGCAGCGCCTGACTGACGTCAAAACCAAGAGCAAGAACAAGGTGCGGGCTGTCCAGCAGCTGGTCCAGCGCCTCCGGCTCATCAAATCTCCTGCTGAAATTGAACGAATGCAGATTGCTGGGAAGCTGACGTCACAGGTGTGATTCCTACTGAAAAGGTTGTTTTCAAATGAAAAAAATCTAAGCTCTTAGGGTTCAGCGGGCACCTTAAGGTTGTGTACGTAATGTAGTAATTTCACGGCAGGTGAACATTTAGCTTCAACTTTGATGTTTAGTGAACACGTCTAGAGACTTGCTCAGGCAAAGTAAATCTGCCTTCTTGTATTTTCTACCCATGATCATAGTTGTTTCTCCTTGGAACAACATAAATTAATTTTTATTTCCTTCCCTTACAATAAATGCAATAATAGTGGCAGTTAAACAGTTCAGTGGTTAAAGAAGACTCATAGGACCCAATGTGACAATGCTTACAAATCCACAATTACAAGAAAAGGGTATAGCATTAAAGTAAGAATACCTGCCACAGCCAATGGTTGTCTCACAGCCAGCGGCCAGAGAAGCCAGGTGCAGGCTACTGTTGTCTTCCCTCAGTAAGAGCTGGGCAGGATGCATTTTCTCTCCTGGATCAGGAACCACAGATGTCTGCATGGAACACCTGGAAACCAGGGAGCCCAAAATGGAATCTCCGCTAGGGATTTTTCTGGTTTGGGTCATATTGGCAGATTCCTGCTATATAACAACAAAGCCCTTTGGAGTTCTCATGGAAACCAAGTGCAAACCATTAATTCTCACTGTTACCAATACTGACAAGCTGCAACAGACTCCTCTGAAACTCCTCTCAATACTGTTAATCAATGTTTCAGGCCTTGACCAGAATCAGTTCTATGCAGGAACTTGACCACAACCTCTCAAGCTAATTCCAGACCTACTGGAATTAACATCATAGCGTAATAGCACAAAAACATTTGAACGCTACTTTTCTGAGGTCTACCTATAGTCCTCCCAAAGTTAAACACTGTTTCCTGAACTATTCCCTCATCTGTTAGATTTTCCCTCATTTGGTGACCCTCCTCAGTAGGTGTTCCAGTTTGTCAGGGTCCTCCTTCAAGAACACTCTCCAGTGTTCTAGCCATGGAAAAGACGACTTACAACTAATTACAAATGTGAGAAGTGTATGTCTGTTTTCCTTCAAATGATTGATTTTTAAAATAAGGAACAGAAGAAGCCAAGAACAGATCTGTGGGATAGTGTTTAGGGCTCCAGAGAAGTTGGTATCAGATGTCTTTGCATAAGGTGTAAAATCAGTTATAAGTCCACCCAGGAGTATTCGCATCCGCAGTTCTATCACTTGTCCACACTGTTATCATAAGAGACTATTTTAAGTGTTGTGCCAAAATTTAAAAGTATTAAATCTGAGGAATTCTCTTTATCTACCAACCCAGTCAAGACATCGGGCAGGGAAATGGAGTTTGGCCTTATTTTTCTTCATGAACAACTGCTACCAGTGGTCATATTCTTTAAGGGTTCCCAATTCTGGTGTAGAATTTTCCCATAAGATTTTTGGATATTTGGGCAAAATAGTTTCCTTAAGAATAATTATGCTATATTTGTGTTTTTCAGTCCAAATGAAAGTTTCCCTTCTTTTGGGGCGTAAGCCTGTGTGATACGAATCAATTGGTTTCTCTTGCAGCCTGATTTGGTTTACAATAAGTAAAGGACCTTGCCGTTAGAGTTAAGTAACCTCTACAGAGGGGAGAGTTGGTAGACTATATGGGCAGAAGTAAACCCAGTGGGACTCAGACCTTGTCCAGCCAGATCTCTCCTGTGGCTGAACATATATCCTGCCTCCTGGACATCTCCACCCGAATTTCCTGTAGTTCTCTAAACTTGTGCTTGGCCAGCTCTACCAGACCTGCCTCTTCTCCTGTATTCTTTTTCATGGTTAACAGTAGCAGCATTGACCTAGCTACCTTAGATAGAAATATGAAAGTTATCCAGATAATTGTCCTCCCCAACCCTTGTATCTAATTAACTAGTCCCCTAGGGAAGCATAATAGTGTAGAAGACAGACAGACCTGGGTTAAATACCAAGCTGGGTTATTTTGGCCTGTGCCTAGCACAGTAGGACAGCTAGTGTCCCTTTGCTGTCTCCTTGCTTCTGCTATTGCTTGTGCCTGCAAATCTGACTGTCCTTCTTCTACTTAAAGTTCTTTGGTGGCTCCTTGTTGTTTTTAGGATTAAATTTCAAATGCTTATGCAGGGCCTTTCATGATCTGGCCCCTTCTGCCTTCCCTTCCAGCTCCATGTCTCATTCTTCCGCATGTGCTTGACACTCTGGCCATACCGAACAGTCTCAAATGTCAGTCTCCCTGCTCTCCCATCACCCCCATGTGGACATGCACACCAGACCTTCATGAACGTATTCCTGCTTTTTCTCCGTAAGCTGTACAGTACCTACTCATGATGTATTCTGATTATGAGATGCACAGAGTGAAATGCAAAGAAAGCCCATTTTACATTTTTAAAGACCCAAAATACAAATGTTTAAATAACACCTAGTGCAGTAAGGTCAAGTGTTAATTGGGAGTATGGGCTACATTGTGACAAGACAACCCTAATAAGCGGCAGTCATAAGGTCTGCCCCTTGGTCTTTATAGGAAAGACATCCCACACATAGGATAGGTAGCATTTGAACCATGTACCATCATCTGTGAAGAAATGGACTCAGAGGAGGCACATTCATTACTAAAAGCAAGGAAGCAAGATCAGGCATTTGACCACCTAGAAAGCAAGAGGAACTCTTCTGTTCGGTTCAGTCTGTGTAACAGTGTGAAGGGGCCATGACTGCAAAAATTCTCCGTGCTCTTCAGTAAAGGTTCAAAAGGAAATTAATAAAGAGACAAAGAAATCCCTGTTTTTAAGTGAAGGAGCCTCATTAGAACTACCATACTTTTTGTTTTATTTCATTTTAGCTTCATACTAAAAATGTAGTGCTAACAAGTTCTGTATCAATATTTGTGTGTGTGTGTGTGTGTGTGTGTCCTTTAATTTTAATTTCTAATTCATTTAGCAGATATTTATAGCAGAGTACCTACTATGGTGCCAGGCCCTGCTCTGGGTTCTAAGGATACAGTGGTGAGCAAAACAGATCATCCTTGTGTCCTTGACCTCAGTCTGCATTCTAGGGGAGGCAAGACAGTGGACAAACGTGATAAAAAGTCAGCTGGAATTAAATGCTCTGAAGAAAAACGAAGCAGTAGAAGGGGAGAGTATGGTGGGAAGTATCCATTTCGATAGGGAGGCCAGGAAGGGCAGAACATCTGGGGAAAGATCAGGAAGAAAAGGGAGCAAGCCCTACAGATACATCCACTGCCGTCCCCCTGGCTTTTCCCCTGTTGGGCTTTATGGTGATGACATTACCTTGTATATTAGAAAACCTTATTCAGAAATTTCTTCACACATTCCATTCGCTCTTAGAATGTAACAAACTCAAGGGAAATTCCTTTCTAGTTGCAGTATTATATAGTCATGTCCCTGTGCAGCTGATTTATTTTTATCCCACAGACATTAGAAATTATATAGCGACAGAGTTTTTCTTTTCACATTGGCTGCTAGAAAACTCAGAGGTAAATTTGTGGCCCATCTCTAGCAGTCGTAGTAATTGTGAAGGTCACTATAGTGTGCCTTATTATTTTTTTGAGCTTCATCCCTTAAGCCTTGCTTTTCTTTAACTCTACCGTGAATTTATGCTATCTTGTATTTTATGTATCTGTGTAAGCTAATGAAAATCCTATTTGGAACAAGATACCATAGTGAATTATAAACAGGTACGTTTATAAAAATATAAACACACACACACATATAATGTGGTTATCACAGAGAATTAATTGCCACAGGACATTTGGCAATAACTAATTGTCACCAAGGAGTGCTACTGGTATCCTGCATTAAATAGGACAGCCCCCACAACAAAGAATTATCTAAGCCAAAATGCTGCTAGTGCTGAGCTTGGGAAACCCTACTGTAGACTGGACTGTGAATTCATAATTTACTGAAGTATTTTGTTACACGAATGACAAATGTGTTTCCATGTAGCTTATTCTAGCATACAATATATATTCTGACTGGGAAGGTTGGGTGCCCTCCTGATGCCACTGTAACTAGCTAGTTATTAATAATAGGAAAGGAACAAAGGGAAGGCCAGGCATTATAAGCATGTTCCCTACAAAACACTGGGGAAGGGGACCACACAGGGAAGATAGAAGCATACCCAGTGAAGTTGCGATGACGGGGAAGGTGCTTGCCTGTCAGGCCCCCCTGGGAGCATAGGGCGTGGCCACTGCAAAGCACAGGAATTTGGGATATGTAATCCACTAAACAAAGAAGCTCTCTTGGTTTCTCTTGGCATGCCTGGCTCATGGCTCACGCTTGGCTTCCTGGCCTTCTCCCGTGTGGCCCACGGCCACGCGGGCCCCCCCACGCAGTGGACTAATGGGTGCCTGGTGCTGAACTGGACCCAGCTCCGACATGGCAGGGAAACTCTGGACACTGGCTTTGCTTCTAGCTTTACTGACCCCCTAACTACACGTCTTTTACAGCTGGACTAAGGGAAATGGGACTTTGGAAACCCAGGGATGTAATTTCACGGTAATAAAGCTTTTTATTGTATCGCATCCTCTCGTGGGGGCCTCCAAGCAACGGGGAAAGACGAGGGACCTTTTTCTCCGATAACACGTCCACTGACTATGTCATCAGTCAATATTTCTGAAAGCAACACGTTCCCCTTCGGAAGTCTGTATTATCATGCCCCCAAAGTCACAACTCAGGTTCGCAAAGTTGAGGGGAAAGGTGCCCTTCCGTCTAACGGGTACTGTGGGCGTTTGAGTGAGCACGCCCTTCAGACGAGCCTGCGCCTCACGCTCCGCTCTCCCCGCAGGCCTTCGTGGAGACCATGTTTGCCAGCAAGGCGCCGGTGGGGGAGAGCTTCCTGTACGCGAAGGTGAGCGGGACGGGGGGCGGGCGGGGGTGCCGCCGCTGGAGTCAGTGGAGAGGATTTGGTTCTTAAATGTCACTGGGAACTTACTAGCCGAGCCTAAGGTCCGCAGAGTTACAGGTGAGTGAGGAAAGGCGCCGAGTGGAACCACTGAAGGGCTTGCGCGAGCGTGACGGGGAGGCCCTACCGCCTCAGGACGCGGGAAGGAGCAGGAGGCCGAGCCGGGAGGGCGGCGGGTGGCTGCCCGCCGCGGGCTCCGTCCTGGGAGTGAAGTTCCTAGGACTTACCACTTGCCTAGCGTCGCTTTTTAATTCTCCAGAGCGTGCAGGCTGGTAGCCCTTGGAAAGGCCGATACTAGTTAGAGCTCTTGTTAGAAATGCAGGCCACCTCCGGCGTTTATCTAAATGAGAATGAACTAACTTGACGTGACTGTCTCTTTCCTCAGCCTTGATCGTAGGTTTTCTGTGCCCACCTCTGGACTTGATTTGAAAATCCTGGGGAATGTAGAGTACTCGGAGGAAGGGAGCAGGCCTAATGACAGCACTGAGGGACCGACTGGGCCGAGGCTGAAGTCCCGGCAGCGCCGCAGGGTCCTGGCG